GCTTTCCTTTTTTTCTATCCTCTTGCTCAAAAAGTCCTACGGAATTCCACATAAAAGCTATTCTAAAAGAACATTAAGGTTGCACAGTTAAGCATTCACAAGTCAGGAAAGTTCAACCTTAACTCTTCCTTCCTTTATGTATACATTACAATAATCTCTGACTGTATATTAAGTGTACTGTACGCCAGAAGCTACATGTCATTTATATGAAAAATGAAGTAGTAACATACTACCTTTGAAGTTTACAAGAATACAGTGTTTTTGCATATATAGGCCACCTTAATTTGCACTGCCGTAATTACCTCATCTCTTCAGGCTGTACAGCTGGTTGATAAGCCATACTATTAGTGCTGACAATTATTAAAATATACACCTTAAAAGTTTGAGAAATCTAAATCAAAGGTGTATTAACCATGATGGCTGTGAGCTTAGAGTATAAACAATTACAATGTGCTGTGCATGTAACTAAGACTGTAGAAAGAAATTTAAGTTGGAGAAACAACAATCAGTGTATTCACACAAATGGACAGAGTAAAGTTAAGTTTAATGCACATTTTGTTATCTGTGCACTTAACCTTGCAATACTAAATTTCTCAACACAGGTTTTGGGTTTTTTCTTTGTATTATTTTTGTTTTGTAGAATTAAACCAAGGAAAGCTTTGCAGTTGATATTAAAGGACAAGACAGTTGAAGTCACTTAGTTTAAAGTACAATACTGATCCTCATAGCATGGTCCAATGCCAACTCAAGTACGTGTCCCTAATGGTCTTTCAGAACAGACAACAACCAGCATCTTCCCATAGTAGATCATCAAGACAAAAAACCCAAGTATAAAAAATGGGTTTCAGAGGAACAGCCGTGTTAGTCTGTATTCGCAAAAAGAAAAGGAGTACTTGTGGCACCTTAGAGACTAACCAATTTATTTGAGCATGAGCTTTCGTGAGCCACAGCTCACTTCATCAGATGTGTACCGTGGAAACTGCAGCAGAGTTTATATACACACAAAAAATGTCACACAATGGCAAAATAGACATCCTAATCGCCTCAAATTCCAAAAACCAGGTAAAGCATTTGTACATTTCTACATACAATCTCTTCCCCCCCCCCCCCCCCCCAAAAAACACTTAGTTTTAGAGGCTACAGAATCCATTAGTGGCAACTCCACCAAAACAGACACGAGCTCCTGATTTTTAAGCATATTTGGAGTCCTGTTACACTAAAACGGATATGAAAAAAGAAAAAAAAAATCAATGCATGCTATTTTCACTCAATTTCTCAACAAAATTATTTCAAACCTGTCAAGATTACATTTGCCAGCTTTTAAAATAAAACCTTCTGAATTAGAGTACAAGAATAGCTTCTGACCAATGACACAAACAGACAAGCAGTTTTAAAAGCAATTTACATGAGTAGAAACCATACAAGAAAGATCTCAAAGTTAATTTCGATGTTGACAGAGGAAAACAGAAACTTAAAGTGACACAACCCTCCCAAGTATTACTATAGTGGTGTTATTTATCAAATGAAAAGCCACAACTTTGTCTTTGTTGATGGACTTAGAGAACCAATGACACATTAAAGAGAACTTAGAAAACTTGTTTCTCAAACTTTTAGAATGCATTTTCAAATATATCTGTTTTTTCTTATTCTAAATGTGAAGCAATACTCATGTTTATGAAATCTACTCCAAACATCAGATTTAAGCAAAAGCAAGTGTCCTTTAAAAAAAAAAAAAAAGAGCGAGAGAGAAAAAAATATATTTAAGATGTAAACTTTACAGAAATTGTTTCTGTACAGAATTTTCTTTGAAGTATTCTAGGAGGTATCAGGGCACCCTAAATATTGTAATTTAAAAGTTTAGAGATTAAATTTACTACTTCTTTTATTACTAGTTACTCAAAATATAAAGATTCATTAGTTTAATGAATAGTACTATATTCTCTTGACTTGCCCTGGCCTTCTAGAATGCAGAATTTAAAGATCGTGCAATCAAACTCCCCCACCCCTTTTTTTTTTTTTTTTTTTTTTTAAAGACAGGGTTTTCCTATGGTGTTCTAGAAACTCATTTTTGAATAATGTTTTTGTGAGAAAACTAAGTAGTAAAGCACCAGGCTTTGTATCCTCACATGAAGTATCACAGCCAAGTTGTGAATCCAAAACAAACACTTTGGGAAAGAGGACAGAAGGAGAAGCCCCTCATCAAGGCACCTTCTCTAATCCCCTTTTCAAAGAACATTTAGATGAAAGCTAGGATTGGTGCAAACAAATTTTCTCTCTTCCAAAATCCCTTTTAAGCACAATCCCCCTCACACAACAGCCTGTTAGAATTAAGTTGCCATATTTAGTACCAATAAAAGAAGCAGCAACACAGGAGTCAATTTTTTTTTTTTTAAATGCTCAGTCCAGGAGGGGACTGGAGATTTAACACCAAATGCTATGGCAAATGAATGACTGGATTGGCAAAAGGGACAAGAGACCCTAATGGCAAGATCTGAGTGGACTGTGGAGACCAGTTTGGTGATGGAATCTGAATAAGGAGGTGGCTACTTGCGTGTGTATACTGCAGCAGCACTGTTTGATAACTCTGACGGCAGTGAGGTTTAAGTGCACAGTATTTAAGTGGTGATAGACATGTATATGGGCAGTTCTACGGACACCTATCAACTCTGATCCAGCTGTATGTGTAGTGAGTACTCAAACCATATACTAACTAACTCAAAGGGGTGAATGTAACACCAGCATACATTCATTTAAAAAAATAGCAAGATAGCGTAGAGAACTGTGATGGAGGTGTGTCAAATAGGAAGTGGATAGCGTAGTCCTGGCAGCAATGGCAGATTCTGAGCCATGACCCTTGAACGTTTATTGAGGGTGAATGAGATGAACCTGGCAGCAGTAGTGGGATGCACGCAGAGGCCCCAGTGTGCGTAAGTGGGAGGATGAAAATAATAGCACTAGTGTCTGCACTAGCAGGGCACGAGCACAGGTGCATAGCAATAGCAGAATCTGAGTTTGATGCTGCTGCTACACAGCATAATCAATTTCCCCAGTATGTCTAGCAGCAGGCCTGAGCTCCAGGGGTTAAAAGAAAGAAAAGCACAGCTCCCATTCCCTTGCTAAAAGAGAGCTTCGTTTCATCTCACTGATTGGGAAAGCCCTGCCCCCTAGATCTTCACTCTCCTCCTCTGCTAGGAGATGAAATTTAGAGCTAGGTGCAATTTATTTTGCTAAACGTCCCCCCACCTCCCTACCACAAATGCAGATCTGAGTTGACAAACATTTAGTGAATTTATATCCATTCTGCCATACTGTTTGTCCAAAAAAAGGAAAAAAGTTTCAGAAGTGTCACAACAGAACATTTTGCTTTTTTAGACGAGATTCATAAGGGGACTTAGGAGCCAGTCACAAAACCGAAGTGAAGGTGCCCCCCTTACACCCAATAGCCTAGTGCTTCGGGCATTCATCTAGGATGTGGGAGACCCAGGTTTGAATTCTCACTCTGGAACAGGGACATCAACTCAGGTCTCCCCCTTCCCAAGGGAGTGCCCCAACCACCAGGTTATTAGCTATTCTGAGGTGGATCTTTTTCAATCTCTCCTGCTGAAACTGTTCCATTCTGTATTAGTAACTAAATATTCACTGGCCCAGAGAGAGTGCGAGATTGACCTTATAGCCTGGTGGTGAGGGCACACATTTGGGAAGGAGAACACATGGGCTCCAGTCCCTGCTCCGATCAATATTTACTCTTCATTGTTTTTATGATCTGGGTACACAAACTCACACTTTCACTTGCTAGTTACAAGCTTGTTTGGGGACATGAACTTGTTTTGGATAAATTTCTTCTCTAGTCCCTAAGTCTTCTCCTTGATGAGTTCCAGCTCTCCAGAAAGATTATTTGTCACCACATGATCTAGTATGACAACACCCACCAGAACTGGTGAATTCCTCCTCACTTTCACCACTCCAGAACAAACCCAACTGCCACAGCAGTGGTGGCAGGGCTTCACACTAATGTTATAAACCCAATCGGCGCTGCAAGACCCTGAATGGCAATACCAGCACGTCTAATGGTTGTGCCCTCAGTGGTGATCACAGCATGTCCAATATTGGCAGCAGTGCAGCCACAAGTAGCGAGTGTGTGCAACAGTGATCCTGATGGTCCATAGGACAGCCAGGGCATGCTCCTGGGCAGTGACCCCAGCACATATAGTACTGGCAGAAGCAGCAGCAGGGTATACTGGAATTAGCAGCAGGGTCCTGACTGGCGACACCAGTACACAGTGCGGGTAGCAACAGGCCATCCCAGTGCATGCCATGACGACCGCGGTGGTTACAACGGCCCCGCTGTTGCCATGCACTGTGCCCCCAGCACGTCCAGTGGCCTCTCCGGCTGGCGTAAGAGGTCCTGAGCAGGGGCAGCAACGGGGCACTGTGCCAGTGTCTGCGTGCGAGGCTCCAGGGTGAAGGAGGCGAGCAGGCCCCCCGAGTTCCTGCGGCCGCTTTGCAGCCGGGCAGCCCCTCCCTGCGTCCGCAGGCTTCCCGCAGGGCCTACACCCGAAGCCTTCCCTACCTCCGGGGACAGCCCCCACCGCGGCAAAGAGAGGAAGGGACCCCTGCCCACAAAGAGGCCTCAGGATACGCACGCTCGCTCGATCCCTCCCTGAGGAGGAGGGGACGGCAGCGGCCTGACCCCTCCTTCCCCGCCCGCTTCTACAGCGCACAGCCGGGCCGCGCGGCCATTCCGAGAGACTCCATAAGGCCCGGCCGGGGGTGGGGAGCCGACGCGCGCGCTGAGGCTCGCGAGTGCTTCACGCCCCCCTTCCCCCAGGGCCGGGCGGTTGGCACCTCGCGCACTCTCCCCAGACAGTCCCCCCACCCCCAGCCCCGTCTCGCGGGGGACTCGCGCTGCGTCTCGCGCTGCCGGAGTGGCTCACGCACCAACGGTCCCACGCGTTCAAACCCAGCTCGAGCCGGGGAGCAGCGGGTGGCTGGGGACTCACCGGGTCCGGGGGAGGCGGCGGCGGCAGCAGCGGCAGCTCCCGGATACATGTCTCCGTGTGAGGAGGCGGCGGCGCCTCTCTCCAGGGCAGGCGGTTCCTACTTCAGCAGCGGCTCTGGGGAGCTAGCCCGAGCCCCGGCTGCACTGACGCTCAGGGAAGGGAGGAGGAGGGCCGACTCCGAGCCGGGAAACCAGGTTACTCAGCGGCACTGGGCGAGGAGGAGCCGGGTGGTCACGGGGGAGGCGGACGCTCCTCCCTCCGGCTTCCTTCTCGTCCCTCCCTCTGCTGGCGGGAAGCGGGGACAGCCACCTCAGCGTCCCGGATCTGCCGCCCCCAGAGCAGAGCGACTGACCGACCTTCCGCGACTCCCCGAGGCGGCGGCCCACCCCATCCTTCCCTCTGGGCGGGCGGGCCAATGACACATCCCCGCTGACACTGGCATCCTCCTTCCCCACTACCATAGCTGCCGGGCCCAGGGGCGCTGGAATAATTTTATAGTGGGGAAGCGGGATGCTGAGAGCCATTGAATCAAACTGTAAACGACTGAACAGGACTGAAACTCCTTCAGGCTAACGGGTACACTAGCACCAGCTGACCCAATGTCCGGCTATTTGGGGCTTTTTCTTATATAGGGGCCAATTACCCCCACTGCCATCCCAATTTTTCACACTTGCTATTTGGTCACTCTAACCCCACTCCCCTAGTTCCAGCACCCAAGCCCACCCCAACTGCTCCTACCCCAGGCACTCGCAATGCTGATCCTTGTAGTTTCCCCCCAAATCCCAAAATCCTGTTGCATCTGTTCTCAGCATGCCTGCAGCTCCTGTCCCACCTTTGCCCTAGCTCATGCTCTCATTTGCCCCCCCGGCTCCAGTTCTTCCCCCCACACACACTTCATGTTTTCTATGTGCAGACAATAGGGGCCTTTCCTGCCTTCCTAGCTACTAGTTTTGGGGGCGACCAGAAGCCATCAGCCCATTTCATAGACTTTAACATCAAAGGGGCCTCATCAGATCATGTAGTCTGAGCCCAAAGATTTTCATTAGCAGAAAGTATTTCAGTCCTTAAGAAAATAAATCACTGTGTGTGAAGCAAAAAAGAACAGGAGAAGGGTCAAAGGGTGGAGTATTGTCCTGCCTACTTGGCAGCTGTTCTTAGGGGCCTCTGTCCCTACTTCTGCTAGGTCACTCTAAAATGGTTGACTGATACTCTTGCCTTTAGGGCAGGATTGGAGGAAGCTCCTTCCCCAGCTGAGTGGGAATTCCCTCTGCTGAGGTAAGCGTAGTTGTAGGAAACCCATGGCCAATAGGGATAAGGCCAGGACACAGTTCACCCCTGCCTATTTTGGGGATTCCTCAGAGGAAATCTCACCCCCAGGGATTAGACTTCCTCAGACCCCACATATAAACCAGGCAGACCCAATCCCCGTATTTGTTTACCGTGGAGAGGAGAAGAGCCGGGGCGGGGGGAAGAGGCGAGAAGAAGACAGAATAACAGTCTTCAAATACATAAAAAGCTGTTATAAAAGAGGAGAGTGATACATTGTTTTTGGTAACATGAGAGAATTATAAATAGTCATATTGCAGATTATCAGTATTAATCAATCATGTCAATCTTCCTAATGGTCACTTTCTGCAGTATATTTCTTTCTATATATAAACTTATACATTTAATAAGGAACAAAATCCTAAAATAGAACATTAAGAAGAACAGGATACAATATATACTGCATAGAAGCAATAATTAAATTCAAGCGGTTAACTACTCTGACATGTAATTGCATGAGTTCTTAGCTTGGTGCATGTCCTGGTTCTATGGAAGAATAGACCCACTGCTGGAGCACCTCTTTGTGACCGGGTGAGGTGTAGAACCTCCCTCCCCAACTGGCATACCCTGCCAACAGCACTCTGGTTACCCATCTCTTCCTGTGACTCAGACCTCCATTCAGGTCACAATTTAAGTACACCCAAAAGGGATGGAACAGATCTCAATAAATAGAAGTCCAAATATCATCACAGAAGGTTAACTCTGGGCTCTGTCCTTATCCCCTTATATCAGGGAGGCTTCATGCCCACTTCTCTGGGTTCCAGTCCAGGGTCTCTGTAGCTAGGAGGCAGTATCTGTCTGTATCAGACCCACCCCTGCTATATCCCTGGGCTTCTACATGAGCCTATCAGCAGGGCCTCTCCATAGCCCCTCTATGATCCCCCTTCTTTCAGGATCGGGACTCATAGGATTCTGCCTTAGAATCCCGCAACAAAATCCCAAACAGAAAGTACCAACTTAAGCCAACTTCTGCCCTCACCAGGCTTGATTTTTTTAACCCCTCTTCTTCATTTTCCCTGCCTTGGTCCTTAAAAGAACACTTCCTGGAAGACCAGATCCTACTCCTCTGTCAGAGCTTCCCACCAGAGACAGCTTCACTCCAGGGGCTGTTTCATGTCTCCTCTGGCCTCTTATCATAGAATATTAGAGTTGGAAGAGACCTCAGGAGATCTACTCCAATCCCCTCCTCAAAGCAGAACCAACCCCAACTAAATCATCCCAGCCAGGGCTTTGTCAAGCTGGGCCTTAAAAACCTCTAAGGATAGAGATTCCACCACCTCCTTAGGTAACGCATTCCAGTGCTTCAACACCCTCCTAGTGAAATAGTGTTTCCTAATATCCAACCTACACCTCCCCCACTCCAACTTGAGACCACTGCTTCTTGTTCTGTCATCTGCCACCCTTGAGAACAGCTGAGCTCCATCCTCTTTGAAACCCCCCCCTTTCAGGTAGTTGAAGGCTGCTATCAAATCCCCCCTCACTCTTCTCTTCTGCAGACTAAATAACCCTCAGTTCCCTCAGCCTCTCCTCATAAGTCACGTGCCCCAGCCCTCAATCATGTTCGTTGCCCTCCGCTGGACTCTCTCCAATTTGTCTACATCCCTTCTGCAGTGGGGGGACCAAAACTGGATGCAAAACTCCAGGTGTGGCCTCACCAGTGCTGAATAGAGGGGAATAATCACTTCCCTTGATCTGCTGGCAATGCTCCTACTAATACAGCCCAATATGCCATTGGCCTTCTTGGCAATGAGGGCACACTGTTGACTCATATCCAGCCTCTCATCCACTATAATCCCCAGGTCCTTTTCTGGAACTGTTGCTTAGCCAGTCGGTCCTCAGCCTGTAGTGATGCATGGGATTCTTCCTTCCTAAGTGCAGGACTCTGCACTTGTCCTTGTTGAACCTCATCAGATTTCTTTTGGCCCAATCCTCCAATTTGTCTAGGTCACTCTGGACCCTATCCTTACCCTCCATCATATCTACCTCTCCCCCACAGCTTAGTTTCATCTGCAAACTTGTGAGGGTGCAAATAATCCCATCATGAAGATCATTAATAAAGAGTTGAACAAAACCAGCCCCAGGACCAACCCCTGGGCCACTCTGCTTGATACCATACTTCTCTACTCAGGAGAGGACCCCAGGGGCTTCTTCATCTTCAGGGAATTTTCCTTGACTATCTCCCCACAGGCTAATCCCAGAGAGTTATCCAACCAGCGGACCAAATTCAGTGATGAATCCTGGTCATGTGCCACCTGAGGCATGTTGCACATACGCTAAGACAACGATTGCAAGCTTCCTCTCCTCCCTGCAGCCCCATCCATTCATTTTCCCTCTTTTTTAATAGCGAAGCAGACTTGACTGGATATTCTATAGCCACCACCAACTATAAACCTTCAGTACTTAGTGGTTTACATTGTCTTGGTCTGTCATGTATCTTTTAGGTAATGTAAGAGCGCCTTTTTTAATAATACTCCATTTTCCCCAATGTTTTTACGAAACAACAATTAACTTTTACACATTTACAATACATTTGAATTCCTCAAAAAATTCTCCTTTTTTTAAGATCAGAACCCTTACATATCTATAAAAAGGTGAGTAAATGTTTCTTCCACCTAACTGCACATCATCCATCTGTGTCTAATTATTTGACAAATATTTTTGTTTAAGCCACAGTGGCCAATTAGTACTCTAAACAAAAGCACTCCATTAATTCTATTCAGGCTCTGAAGTATGTCATAGTCCTCTACTCAAGGGCACAATTAAAAAAAACTTCCTCTTTTTGCATTCATCCAAATCTTTTGCCATTTCTTTTACATTAATTCCTGTTTACTCAATGGTATTTCTGTGTCAATCTTTCCATTTCTTACAGCATTTTTAGCTGCTTTGTCTGCCATTTTGTTCCCTGTTTTCCGCCCCCAAATGTGTGATGGGATCCAAGGTAATGCTCCATGTATCCCCATCTGAACTAACTCAGTTAATAGAAATATAATTTCACTGATTAAGTCACTTCTACATATTGAAGCACCCTTTAAAAAAAAACAAACCAAAAACAACAACAACAAACACCACCATAAAGCCTGAGGTGGAATCAGAAAAAGGGACTGCTGCTGCTGGGGATACATCCCAGATCCAATTTAATATTAGCATTATTGCTACTACCTCAGCTGTCAGACATATGCACTATCAGATATCCTTTTAGATTAGCTAATTCCAAGTTTTGGTATACAATGTGCTGTCCCTACTTTTTTTCTTTTTTGGACCCATCTGTATATATATTTGAGGAAACCTACTGTACTTTTCATCTATATACTGATGCACTTCATTTTAAATATTTAGTATCTTTTTTACCCTTAAGTTTATCAAATAAATCTAATACCACATTTGGACATGCGACTTGCCATCCATAACTAATTCTCCATTGACTAAAAGTTTTGACTTCATTCAGTTTTTCCTTGTTTCTCCTGCATCCACTCTTAAACTCAAACGGCATATGGAGTTCTAACATCATGTGCTATAGTTCACGTATTGAATTCTCAACAATCCTCATATGTTTGGTACTTTCATCATTGCAGATTCCATTAACTTTAGCCCAGAAAGTTAGGTCCAGTGGTTTCATTCATACTGTAACAGGTATTTCACTAGAAGCTATCTGTAGTTCTCATATAGTATTGTAATAAATCTAGAGCACACAATTCGTAGTGCCTGGGCTTGTATTAAATCTAATTTGTTAAATTCTGATGCTGACAGAAAGCCATAGTCAAAAGCTAGTCTGATTAAGACTCTGTATAGCATCAGCAGTGTTTTCTTATCCATCTCTCCCTCCCCCCCATTAGTCCCAGGCCCAGCAAGACTTTTAAGCAGATTAATCCTTCTTGTACATTTATCTT